AATCTCCTATTACCTAGTATATCTAGTACTTACCTATACTATATAACTAGATAGAAGTTATATAATATAATAACTTTACCTCTTACCCTATATATACCCTATTAGCCTTAATAGGTTATAAGCCTAGTAATACTTATATTATAAAAGCTACTAATAAAATAAAGGAAAGTATTAATTTCTTACTAAATTTACCTACTATCTATATAAGCTAATATTTACTATAAAACTTAAGAAATTTATAACTCTTTATATATAAAAAGAGGAAAGACCTTAAACTCTAGCTAATCTAGAGTATATTTAATAAGTCTATTTACTATAAAAATTCTATATAAAGAAAAAGAAATTCTACTACTATACCTTACTTAGTAATTTATATATAGACTCTATATACTTATTTTATATATATTATAATATAAATTTACTTAGTATAGTTATAGCCTTTAAATAAATATACTTATTAGATTACTTATTATAATCTATAGTCTTAAATATACTTACTAAATTACTTATTATAATCTATAGTCTTAACTACTATAAAAGGTATATAATAACTACTTACTTAGTAAGAAGAATTCCTTATTACTTACTTAAATACTTTTTACTTTTAAATAAATATAAGGTACTTAGTTTAAAAAGAAAGACTATATACTTAGCTTATTATCCTCTTTATTATCTTAAAGTTCTACTCTTTTAGTAGGTAATATTATTAGTAACTTAACTCCTATATATAAGTTAAGATCTTTTTATAGCCTTATTATTTACTTTATTATTTAATACTATATCTTTAATATTAAAAAAGGTATTAAATATCTTAAAGTTTAAATCTAAAAGTAGCTAGATTAAATAGAAGTTAAAGATAATTAATATATTAAGACTTAATAATCTTAGTAGATTACTACTAAAAGGCTAAGGAAATAGCTTTATTTTAACTAAGGCTTATAATAGTAAAACTATAAAGGATCTTATTTAGGAATAAATATAGGATTAAGTCTATACTATTACTTTTATTAATATAAGCCTTAAAGAATATACCTATAGCTTTATTAAAGATAAGGTTATAGTATTAAATATAATTATAGCCTTTAAAAAGTACTTTAAACTAAAAGGTATTATTATCTTTTAAACTATAGCTAACTATCTCTTAATAT